ACACACACACACACACAACTAGACCTACACATGACCACATTAGACATCAGGCCTGCAGTATTATGATACAGGAGGATTTGTGTCACAAAATAATTCACACTTACCTTTTCATAGTAATAACCAAATATTTCTATTTAGTTGTTTTATTTTTTATTTTTTAAATTGCTCATGGATATTTAATTTTACATTCTTGTCACATATGATGATTTTGATCTTTAATATGTAACTCTCACCCTCAAGATGACTCAACATGTTATGACGATGGAAAAATGTACCAGGTGGGAAACCAGTGGCAGAAGGAATACCTGGGTGCCATCTGTACCTGTACCTGCTATGGAGGACAACAGGTTTGTAACATTGTGGGCTGTGTGTGCTGCTTTATGGGTAATGTCAAACAAGTACAAATTCTCTGTGTCTACCTTTTGAATGTGTGTATGCCTGTATTCAGATACCATCAGAACTGCATTAGGGAGTCCTTGTGTTCTGTGTGTGTTTGTGTGTGTGCATTAACCTCTCTCCCTCCCCCCTTTAGGGCTGGCGTTGTGAGAACTGCAGAAGGCCGGGAGGACCGACTGATGTAGACGCTGACCTCCTTCAACCTGTTAGTTCAGATGCTTTCGACCGATACAGAGAAAACGCTCTACGCAAACTGGTCAGTGTCTCACTATAGATATAATATCATGTATTAACTTCAGCATAGTTTTTGGTGATCTGTAATTTCTCATTTTGAATTTATTCAAAAATAATAAATCACCTCTGTTTCCTTCTCTTCTTGCCCTACTCTCCAGAACATCCAATGTCCAATTGAATGTTTGAGGCCAGAGCTGCTTGCAGATGCTCACAACCCCTCAGAGTAGAGAAGAGGGGAGTCTGAGTAAAGGAGGGTGAAGAAGTGAAGACCCCCTTACAGCGTCGATACCACTTCAAGAAGGACGCCTCCTCCTGCTTTGATTAAAAGAAGACATTTCCATCAGATCTGTGCCTTAAAGGTTTCCCCTCACCAAATTTAAGTGCCTTAAAGAGACTTTTCTACACCAACAAGGATTTCTTCTTCCAATTAATTTTTGACATCAATCTGTCAAGCACAAATCCTGCTGCTTCATCACCTCAAGCCTGCCGACCCCAAACACACACACACACACACACACACACACACTAGATGCAGTATTTTTGTGTATTTTTAATGTTTCATTGGGGCTTTATTTTATTTTTATTACAACATTCCATCTTCCTTTGACCAAGACAAAACACACCAAATCTTTTATAAGATTGTATTCCCTAATAATAACTGTAGCCTCAGTTGTTGCATTTTTCATGATTTTGAGTCTCACTGTGACTAATATATTAAAAAACTTTTACTTAATGATAGAATGCATTTGGGTCCCTAGACATTTCCAAATCAGAATATTGTGAGTTTATTGCAAAGGAATTGCAAAAGCATACATGTTTCCATTGTTGCTCGACACCCAGACAGCCACAGTCAGATTTAAATCAAATTGATTAAACTGTTATTAACTAGCATTCTTTTTAATGAAGGGGATTACAGTTGTAGAAGCTGTACAATACCGCAAGTGTCTTGTCCTTGCGCTCTCTGTGTGGTCAGTGTCCCTCTATCTTGATAAGCAGAGCAAGGGGTCACAGATTTCTTTTTAAATGACCTGAAATCCAAAACAACAAACTTTCCTTAAAAAGATAAGCACTGTTACTTTTGAATCGGTATTAAAAACATTGCCTTGCTAGTATTACAGTATAGGCTCTTGAAGTCACCATGTAGATGTGATTCTGTGATCTGTAATGTGGGTGTTGTTGAAAGTATGTGAGGTGTAGCACCTATTAAATCTATTTCAAAAGATGGCTGACCAAAAGATAAACTGTTATTTCAAAAATGTTTTGGAAAATTCACCATTATTTGCAAGTGAAATACATGTTAATTACATAAATGTTTTTTTTATTTTTTTTATTTGTTTCTTTTATTTATCCCTTTTTATTCAGGCATTTTGTTCAATGCTTTTTTGGGGTGTACACTTTATTTTTGATTAACTTGTTTTTATATTGTTGGTGCCAAAATCTGAACTACTGTGGACTGAATCTTTTTAATAAACTAAAAAACAAACAAAAAACAAGCCAGTTGTTTTTATTGGGAGAGAAGTATTTTCCAGGTTCTGTTAGGAAAGAATGATAGACAGACTTTTAATTTTGTAAAATGACTCCTGAAACCAAAGGGCGGCAGCTTTTTTAAGATCGAAGTTGTTTGACAGAATAACATGTATATCCATTACCTCTTATAACCAGACACACATTTCATTGCGATACGATGTATAAATGAAGGGGTTTGAGCTAGTTTGAATCCACAAGTTCTTGATATCACACCCATGCTTGATATGGGCTTTTATTCTGAAAAGCAAAATAAACTATACCGGAAACCGTTCTCCCTTGCGTAGTCGTGGAATGCATATTTGCGTCCTGCTATTGGTTCTTCTGGAAAGGTTTCCGGTTAAAGCCTCATCCCTTCAGAATAAAATTATGGACACTTGTTCTTGAATAAATATAGTAAGTAAGTATATTTTCTCGTGCACTACGAAAGATAACACATGTTTCTATCAACCTCTCTGGTGTTCGTGTGTTGTTGTAATACTTATTTCTCCTCCTGGGATCAATAACGTTTTATATTATTATATATATTATTATGCGTTATTTGTTTCGACAGAGGGCCTTCTCAAATTAAATAAATTATTGATGCACACGAGTACCTACATACTTGCCCTTTATCTTAATAACAAACAAGCAACTCTCTCCATGTTTCGTGTCCTAAACGATTGAGCTGATATGACAAAACATACATTATGTCGGAATACTAGAAACCACAGTAAAGGCGAGGCTTTTATTCTGAAAGAAAAAGAAAAAACCCAGAGCGGAAGTGCTGTTTCTGTTGCCGCCGCGGAGGAAGCGAAGAGTGGCATTCAAGTTAGAGAGCAACTCACACGAAACACACGAGAAGATGGAGAACGAGTGTATTGACAGTTTAATCCTGAAGCTCCACGATGTGAACGCGGTGAAGTTCGGAGAGTACAAGCTGAAGAGCGGCATGCTGACACCCATCTACATCGACCTGAGGGTCCTCGTGTCCTACCCCGCGCTCATGAACCAGGTAAACACGTGCTGCCCTTCCTCGAGCACCACAACGTGATGAACTTTAAACTTTAAATAAATAATGGGCCAAAAGACAAAGGTGTTGTTACAGTCAACGTTAAAGTGTTTGCATGCCCTCGTTTTAAAGTGGAGGGGTGTTTTATCAGCAGTGTGAAAGTCCAGCAGTCAGCTGTTGAGCCATTGAATTGTGTATATGTTTAAGCCCTTATAGTGTGTGTGTGTTTGTGTTTGTGTGTTTGTGTGTGTGTGTGTAGATGGGCAGCAAATAGTTAAGATAAGATATTCCTTTA